GGCGGAGGGGGCGCGCGCGCGCGAGCAGCGCAAGAGGGCAGGGAAGTGAGGCGCAGAAAGACGGCGGAGGCGGGGGGGGTTGTCGGTGCCCGGAAGATGGGGCATCCCCGGGGCCTGGAGGGATGGCCAAGAAAAAGCCCCCAACGATCCCCCGCCTCCGCCGCCTCCGCCGCTCCGGAAGCACCACCGGGGAGGACGGGGCGGAGAGCCAGGAACCCAGGGAGAAAGATCCGGATAATCTCCCAGGGAAGGGCAGGGCGGGGGGGGGGGGGGGGGGCGCCAGCGGCGGCCATATGCCGAGGTGCTGCCCACGGGGGTGTAGCTGCCCACGCATGGCCGTTCGGTGGGGCATCGATCCTTGGGACTAGTTGTCTGGCTCTCCCACCCCATCCTCTCGTCGGCTCTCCCGGGCCTGCCCTGCCTGTGTTTGTGAGTGTCCAGGGGGGGGGGGGGGGGGGGGCATAATGCGCCCGCCGTGTCATTTCGATGCAGGCACTTCCGCGTCAGGGGCGCGGACCCAGGGAAGGCGACACCGGCAGAGAGGCGTCGAGTGGGTGAAATCCCCCGGCCGGCCTCTTGGGCAACCGGCCTCGCTCGGCATGCCCCATCGCCTCGACACCCCGCGGTGATATACTCTCCCCTCCCCTCCGCTCGCCCCTTTGCCCCGCACCAAGCCGCTTGTCAGTTTCCCCGACACCATGCTCCCCGCCGTCGCCCGCCTGTCTGTCCGCTCGCGCGCCCTCCCCGGCGTGGCCAGCCGTGCCTTTGCCACCGCCTCCTCTGCTGACGCCTCGACCGAGCACGGCGTCAAGAAGTTCGGTGTTGTCGGCGCCGGCCAGATGGGTATCGGCATCGCCCAGGTGGCTACCTCTGTGGTCGGCCTGCCCGTGGTCCTGGTCGACACCAGCGCCGAGCGCCTCGAGAAGCAGATCGCCTTCATGGGTGCGTGTACAGCCACTGCGGTCGCCCTTCTCCCCCCGTAGGATGGCTGCGCCCGGGTCTTCTCCCGCATCTCCTGTCCCCTGCCTCTTCTCTCCCCTCCCGGACCTTGCTCGCCACTGACCGAGAGTACATTGCCTCGTCGCCTCCTCCTCTCCCCTGTCCCGGACCGGGCCTTGGCCTCGGTCGCGCGCCCACACACACACACACACACACACACACATACGTCCACGCCGCCCCACAGGCAGCGTCCTGGCCAAGGACGTGGCCAAGGGCCGCATGACTGAGGAGCAGCGTGCCGCCGCCCTGGACCGCATTGTCCCGGCCACCAGCCTCTCGGCCCTGGCCGAGTGCGACTTCGTGGTGGAGGCCGTGTCCGAGGACCCGGCCATCAAGCTGGAGCTCTTCCGCCAGCTGGATGGCGTGCTGGCCGCCCCGGCCCCCGGCGCGGTTGGCCCGATCCTGGCCTCCAACACTTCGTCCATCCCGCTGACGCGCATTGCCGGCTCGGTCTCCGCGGCCCGCGCCACCAGCGTCATCGGCATGCACTTCATGAACCCGGTCCCGGTGATGGAGCTTGTCGAGGTGATCCCCGCCCTGCAGACCGCCGATGAGGTCCTCCTCCGCACTGAGGCCCTGGCCCGGGCCATGGGCAAGACCACCGCCCGGTCGGCCGACGCCCCGGGGTTCATCGCCAACCGCCTGCTCATGCCGATGCTCAACGAGGCCATCATGTGCCTCGGCGAGGGGATCGCCACCCCGGAGGACATCGACACCGTCATGCGCCTCGGCATGCGCCACCCGATGGGGCCGCTCAAGCTGGCGGACTTCATCGGCCTGGACACCTGCCTGGCCATCATGCGCGTGCTCTACAACGAGGTGCGTTGTGCATCGGCACTGCGTGTGGTACTTCTGCCCGGCTGCCTTTTTCCTCGTCCTTCTCTTTCTTTTTCTTTCCTTGCAAAGCCCCCGGCCACAGCCGGTTGTCCCTCTGCGGTGGCTCCCTCTTCTTCCTTTTCGTGCTCTCTGACCCTTATCCCTTCTATGGCAGTTCGGTGACCCGAAGTTCCGCCCTGCCCCGCTGCTGGTCCGCTATGTCGAGGCTGGCTGGCTCGGCAAGAAGGCCGGCCGTGGCTTCTACCAGTATTAAGCGCGCGTGCCGCCGCCGCCGCCGCCGCCCGGTGAATTGCTCCCCCTCCGGGAGACGCCTGCTCTGGCTTCTCCCGGGATGTGCCCGCGCGAGGGGGAGGCAAATAGAAACACACCTCCCTCCCTGGGGGGGAGGTGTGCGCATGTACACACACACACACACACTCGTGCGTGTGTATGTGTGTGTGTGTGTGGAAAAAACAGGATGTATTCTGGATCTATGGTACAAAGCCCTCTCTCGGTGACCGGGCGGCTAGGGCAACACTGTCGCCCTACTCCGGGAGCGGCAGAGAGAGAGAGAAGGAGAGAAGGAGGGGAGGGAAACAGGCTCGGGAGGGGTGTGGGGTTCGGGCGTGGAGGATGCACAGGCCTGGGAAGGGCCGGGTCCGCGCCAGGCGTTCCGCCTAGGCCTCCAGATCGTCGGTCTGAACACCGTGGGACTCGGCCACCGCGTCGAGCCGCGCGCGACGGGCATCCAGGTCGGCCTTCTTGTACACGCGCGAGGGGACAAACGGGAGGACGGTAATCGAGCGGTGGCTCAGCTGGTAGCCATTGAGCTTGGCCATGGCGCGGTTCGCGTCATCCGGGATCTCGTAAACGACGAATGCATTGCCACGGGTGGTCGGGGAGTTTCCACTGGTCACAGGGGGAGGGGGTAGGAGGGGGGGGGGAGAGAGCAGGGCGAAGGTGAGGGGAACAGGGCGAGAGAGGGGGGGGATGGGGCAGGAAGGGAGCAGGGATGGAGCAGGGATGGAGTAGGGATGGAGTAGGGCGGGTGGAGAAACGCACAGACGGATCTGCTGGATTGCCCCGAACTTGCCGAACAGGTCGTACAGGGTCTTGGAGGACACATCAAAGGGAAGATACCTGGAGGGCAGCCAAGAAAAGGGGAGGGGGAGGAAGGCTGGTGAGTGGCCCGCGGCCGAGGGAGGAGGCGAGCAAGCCTGCCTGGACACGCACTTGACGAAGAGAATGCGGTTGTTCTGCCGCGCTTGGCGGGATTGCTGGGTGCGCAGGCGGACGAAGAGGTCAGACAGACGCCCAGGCCGGGCGGCGAGAGGCCCTCCCGGGGAAAAGATAAGCAGGGGGATGAGCGAGACAGGGAAAACGCACAAGCGAGCTCATGATGCGCCGACAGGAGGAAAGAGTGAGACAGGCAGAGAGGGCGAAGCGAACAGGAGGCGGAGGGCGAGGAGGCGGGGGGGGGGGAGGGGCTCTGCTGGATGGCACCCGGGAACGGTGCCAACCTTAGCCCGGCGCCGAAAAAGTGAGTCCGCCCAGGACGTGCTGCTGGCCGTGGGGAGCAAAGTCCCGAAGCTCCCTCCCAGGCGGGCAATGCCCGGCTGCCGACGTATGAGTGCGTGTCATGATGCCCGAAGATCATGTGGGTGCCAGTGGGCGTGTGCCCCTTCGTGTCTGATATCTCGGAATCCTCGGACGGTGGAGCATCCGCCGCCGGCGCGCCGAACGCGTGGGGGCTGGCCCGGGGAGGGGATCGGGTGGGGATGTCCGGCCACGAATTCAGAACCGACCGGGGGACGATCCGCATTGACTGTGTCTGAAAATGGTGCACTTTAATATGGACGATAAAATAGTCCCCGGCCGGTGTGTGCCTAGGAGGGATCGAGGCCGGGAGGTTTGCGAGGCTGGGGCCTTTTCCCTCCTCCCTGGCTGGCGGGCCTGCCCCGAGAGGCTGCCAGGACGGTGCCCCTGCCGCGGGTGCGGGACCGCCGCCAGGACCTCGCCCCCGGCGATAGCGCGCATGCCCTGACGCGCGCACACAGCATGCCCCCCCCCCCCCCCCCCCCCCCGGCGAGAAGCACGAAAAAAGCCCCGGTGTTCGCTCACCCCGGCACAGCGGGATGCGGAATACGGGGGACCAGATCCAGCGCGGTGGAAACCATGGCCCCGACGGCCGGGCCCCGCCCCCTCTTGCGCCCCACCCGCCCTGTCACCCTGGCTTTCTTGTTTATCTTGCACGCTGCGCCCCTCAGCAGCAATTTCGCCGGCACGAGGCGTCGTTCTGATGGCGCCGGTAGCCGTGCGTGGGGGCGGGCCTGGGAGGCGGCGGCCCTGTCCTCGGGCCCCGGTCCCGGCTGCCCCACCCCCTCCCGTCAAAACCGTTACCTGACCCCGGGCCTCCGAGGACACGGGCCCACACGGGCCGCGCGTGGCGAGCGTATCGCGCGCCGTACCTCCCCGGTTGGGTCTGGCAGACTAGAGAGACAGCCGCGCCCGGCGCCAGTGCATGCAGATGCCGATGTGCCCGGGACCTGGCCGCCCGTTGGCGAGGGCGCACCGGTTTGCGTGGGGGCGGTGCCCCATCTGCGTCGGCGCGGGTGTGTCTCTCTCTCTCTCTTTCTCTCTCTGTCTCTCTCTGTCTCTCTCTCTCTCGCGGTGAAAGTCCGAGTGTGTATGCGGGCTCCCGTGTTCCGGCTGGAGTGTAGGCCGCCGGTCCGGGGCTCTGTATCCTTATGCCGCGACGGCCGTTTGTGCCGTGGCCCGCCCTAGCCCCCGGATCGCCGGCGGGGCCGGGCGTACTCGTCAGCCGCGTAGGTGCTTCTGAAGTGACATTAGATTTCCCCCCGCGGGGGATTCTGATTCATCTGGAGGGGCTTCCTCAGGCCCGGCCGAGTCTGGGCGCTCACTGTCCCCCGCCCCCCCCCGCCCCTGCCCCCCGGGCGGGAGGCGGACGAGAACCGGCGGCGCCCGGGGCCTGCCGCATGGAGAAACAGGTGCCCCCGGCTGGCGCCCGCCCCCCGACGCAACGCCAGGCCTTTGCGCAGGGTGGCCGTATCCCGGGTGCCGGCGGGTCGCGCCGCTGTCTCCCCTGTTGCCGGGCGTGCAGCAGCACGCCATCGGCAGGAATGCGAGTCTCGTCCGCGGCCGGCGGGTCTCGCGCATGCTTGCTGCGCGCAGGCTCCTCCCGGCTCGCGGGCCCCGGCGGGGGGGCCATTCTGCTGATTCTGTACTCCAGAGCGGCCGCCTTTGGGGCGGGTGCCTCCGCCGCGCCGGGGCCGTCCTGCTGGCGGCTGCCGGGCTTCTCCGGAGCAGGGCCGCCCCGGCGGAGATGCGATCAGTCCTCGGGCCCGGGCTCGGCCCCGGTGGCCGGCCCGGATTCCGGGGGAATGCGCCCCTGCCGGCGGCGCCATCCGGCCCCGGCCCCCGGGCCCCCCTCGCGGCTCGCGCGCCCCCCCCAGGCCGCCGGGCAGTATCCGGCACACGCGCCGGCCCACTACCACCTGTCCGCGGCTGCTCCCCACCAGCCACAGCATACCCAGCACCAGCACCAGTCGCAGGTCCCCTTCGGTAATCACGACCCCCGGCCGGTTGGCCTCCGCCCCGGAGGGGCGGCCGACACTCGTCGGGGCTACCTGACACCGCATCGACGCATGGCCCGCGGTGCCCTGGCGCCCCCCCCCCCCCCCCCCCCCCCCCTTCGCCGCAAGGGGGCAGGGCGGGTGCCCCTCTACAGGCGGGACACGTATGCGGGCATGTCCTGCGGCCGGCGCCCGGGCGTCGTCCCGGCTCCCGGGGCGCGCACGCGCGCATGGCGACAGGCCTGGGCAAGCTCGGGCCCCGCCAGCACTAGGCCGGTCAAGTGTCCGGCGCGCGCCAGCTACCCCGGCTGGGCATCACTCGGCTGGCCAGCCCCGCCCGTGCGCATTTGCGCGCGCGCGCGCGGCCGGTTGTTTAACTTGCCCCCCCCCCCCCCCCCCCCCTCGATCTGCCCGCGCTTGGCTTGACTCGCGCCTCGCACACGCCCTCTCGCGATCTCCGCGGCCAGTTGGCGCGCCGGCGCATGGCGCCCCCGGGGGTTTCGTGGCACGCACCGGCGCACGTCCCCCCCCCCGCCCAGCCTGGCTCCCGAGAGCCCTTGCCTCGGGCGCGGGCCGCCCGCAGGGGACACAAGCCCTCCGGGCTGGGGGCGGGTGTGGGTGGGTGTGCCTGCGCAACGTGGGCCCCCCCCCCCCTTTGCCCGTCTGCGGGCGGCTCCCGGGAACTGCCTGACTTGGCGGGCAGGACACGAAGACGCGCCCCCCGCGCCGCCCCACGCAGGGGCTCCGCCAGTATAAGAGGCGGCCGCCAGCGCGGCGGCCGGCTCCTGTTTTCCCTCACCCGAACGTCGCCCCCATACGACGCTTGCCTCGTCCCCCCCGCTCTAACCTCGCTGCCGACGACGGCGCGCCTCTGCGCGTCACTTTCGCGCGCGCGCCCCTCGCGCCCCGGGTTTGTCCGCCCCTCGACATCCCGGTTCCCTCCGTTGCTCCACCAATCGTTTGCCCCTGTTTCACCCATTGAGCCGGCCTTCTTTCCACGGGAAGCCGCCCAGTGAGTGCCTCAGAGCCCCCTCACCCCCCCTTGCGTGACTCGCCGCCGCGTGTGTTCCCGCGTCCTCTCTCGTCCGTCGCCTACCGCCGTAGTCGCACCCGCTCTCGTTGTTCATCTCCAAGATGCAGGTCGTCCACCAGCTTAACGCCTTCAACCGCTGCAAGCAGCGCCAACGCGAGACCGAGGCCACCTCGACCGCCGCCACGCCAAACGATTCCACCGGAGTTGGGAAGAAAGTTTTCGGGTATACCGAACGTCCACTCTTTCCTGAGGCTCAAAACAATGGATTCCTTGCTTCCGTACGTGTGCATGCTTGCTCCCTTGGCCCGCCGGGGGGAGGGGAGGGGGCCTGCTCGTCTCTGCCTCGTTCCCCCTTGCCCCGCCCCGCCCCGCCCCCCCCCCCCCCCCCCCCCCCCCCCCCCCCCCCCCCCCCCCCCCCCCCCCCCCCCCCCCCCCCCCCCCCC